GTCTGGAGACGGCAAACGGTTCATGTCTTGAAATACTGAATGGTCGCACTTGACGAACACATCTATACAGGCTTGGTCATTTGTCCATAGATGTGCTCTTTGTTTGCGCATATTCAGCTTTTAGGCAGCTTTTAGGCTGCGACCACACAAAAGGCCACACCATCTTGGTCTTCATACCTTCTTTTAGTTGGGCTTCTTTAAAGCCCGTCTAAATGACGTACCAATCATATGCTAATGCGACCAGGGCCGATTTAATGCAACTATTTGCTCCAAAGTCCTACTTTTTCTGGGTCAAAAGGGGTTGTGTGTGTTTGCTGGCTGGATCTAAGTCTTAATCGTTATCAACTTGTAGCCGAACCAAAGTGTCTCAGCTCCAAAATGCACATTATTCACCTGCTGCCAGTAGTATCCGTCTCATTCCGGACAAAAAATGTTGCCCCTGACCGTAAAGACTAATTTACATGTGTCGAGAATCCCTGTTTTCGAGTGGTTAGACACACCAAATTCTACAAACACTTTCTAAAACCACGCATTGCAATCACATTCTGCAACCACATTCTTACCTCGTTCTGACAGTCTGGCCCTATTAACAGGCCTTATCTGTAGTTCATATTAAGCGTTGTTTTCTTTCGCTTTTCTACCTACCATTTCGGTGGGAACCGTAATTTCTCAAGTCATTTCTGACTGTCACGTGGACAATTTAGTCGAAGGCATCAATATGCAGGACCATACCAATGCATCATTATTGAATTAGGTCTGTATATTTCATTATGTGTAATCGGGGCTCATTATTGAGAATATTTGTTTCAGCTGGACAATCTTTAGGTAATGGAGTGTTGAAATATTGAGTTATTAAATCGTGGCCATTTTACGACAAACAGGTATACAAAGATGATCTGCTTTAGTTTCTTCTGTAGACTTGGCATAAAAAACGTTTTGCATGTTTCGATAAGTGCTGCTATGTGAAGGTGAATGACGAGGCTGATAGCGAGTCATCTCTGCATAAAAAATGTTTTCACCCTATTTCATTTAAGGTGTGGAGGACTGGTAGTTGAATTTTCCCACAATTATATGAATAGGCCTCATTTTTCCATCTAATTTTACATGGGCTTGCTTCAAAAAGACACTTTCTTTCTGGCCGGACTGGAGTGGACTGCAGTTTCGACCTTGCCTAGGTGTCAGCAGTACCCCTAGACGGACTCGAACCCAGGAAATGCAACGTCAGATTGTCAAAATGCACTTGGGTAACAGAGCAGATGTGAATTTCAAGGAAGGCCTGGCCCTTCATTACAATTGACTATATTACTTATTTTTCGTTTATAAGTAGATCTTTGGGGTTACCAGTATATATTGAGTAATAACCCCCTTTGAAATCCAAGTAAAATCAAAAAGAAATAATGCAGCCAATTGTAACAACAAGTACAACTTTGGTTTATCGACAATTCCACCACAGAATGTGATATGTGAAAATGCCTGATTTTCTTCGAAATTCACATCTGTCCTGTGGCCCAAGGACACTTGTGGTAGTGTGGCGTAACGGTAAACGTGTCGAGATAATACGCTAAACTCTCCGGGTCTGAGTTCCGCTGGGGATGCTGATAAGGCATAGGGGAGGTCGAAATTGCAGTCCACTTCAGCCTTGATGGCAATATAATTTTAGGAAGCAAGGTAATTTGGATCCAATGGAAACATGAAGCCTAGCTATACTATTATTGTGGGAAAATTCAACTCTCAGTCCTTGATCACCCCAAATGAAATAGGATGAATATAGTTCTTATTCACGATCTACTGGTAATCTGTATAACATATTTTAAAACGGAAAAAGATGAAGGCATCTTTGTCTAGCAGACTTAGATAACTATTTAGCTAGTAAATATTAAGCCCAATATAGTGGGGTCTTTCGTTTGATCTCAGTTTCACAACTTGATCCTATGTCCTCTGGTATTCATGATTCTTTTCGGCATCAGACCGTTAACTTGGTATATTCCCATTAGATACCTACTCTTGGTAATATAGTTATAAATAAATAAATAAATATAATCCAACTGTCGTTTTGGATTACACAAATTATTTTATTATTCCAGATTACGCAAAATAGATTTTACCGCGATAAATTATGAAATTGGTCGTTATTCTGTAAAAAATATGTAAGTATGTGTAATACATCTTTGGAAAGCATACATCCTTGTGGTGGAATAGATTTACGAACCTGATATCAGAGGGTCTTAAAGTTGCTTTGATGTGAAAATACAAAATTTATACTCTAGTTTCTATTTGTCAAAAGAAATACTTCGTATTTTTATGCCTTACTTAAGGAATAAAAGACAATTTCGAGGCTTTATTCATTCTGCATAGTCAGGAAACTTCTCGCCTAGAGCCTTTTTTTAATTGCTCAAATTATCAGTGGCCAGACCTGCATTTTTTTCTCAGGATTCTACCACAAACCTTGAGTGTTTTTAATTATCGCCTGATTTCATCAGATAGCAACCATATTCCCAATGGCGTCCCCGACCTCGTGACTTAATTGCTCTCTCCATGAGTTTTACTCTCGTTATTCTCTGGTGCTGAACCCACTGGTAGGGTCGCAGTGATGGAGAATCGCGATTTAGAGGAAGGATGCCACGTTGGTCGACTTATGTCTTAGGGGTTAATGGCCGTTGGCAACCCAACTTTCAGTCCATGCAACACCAATTGAAATAAGTTGTAACTTCAATTTAAAGAGCTATACAGCTTCCCTTGATTATCCATACCTTAAGAGAAGAGAGATGCTTTAACCAAATTTTATGTCGCCTCGGGGGCCAAAATAATTTTTTAACTAAATCGCTACGCTTTTTCCCGTTCTTTTATCACAATTATGGTCCAATTTTTGGCCTTGGTAGCGTTTATTACTTCAAGTGCAGCTACTGTTGACTATTCTTAGCACATTGCTCCTGTGAGTGCGTGAGTGTGCATTTGTGCAATTACCTATGCACATACTTGCCACAAGAAATACACCGCGGATTTTTGTCCTCTGTCTGTCCCCTATCTAGCCTAATTTTCCCCACATCCTTTTGTCGGAAACATCAAGTCGAGAGGGCATAATCGAATGTGTTAATTATGAAGCGTCTGCATTTTCCCCTGTAAATTATTCTATTTCGTCTTATCTTTTCTATCCTCACAGTATCCACGCTAGACGCACATTCATAAGGAGTGTACGTGCACTCCTACACACAACAATACATTTCTTCACAATGGCCATTCGCTTCTTTATAGACCACGGAGAATGGCCAATTAATTTGAATATGCCATTGAATCGGCCATTTTTTGCCCACCTTTGCTTTACACGTTCGTGTATATGTATATATGTATGCATGTATGTATGTATGTGTGCATATACGTATGTATATATATGTTTGCATGCATGTCTGTATGTCTGTATGTCTGTATGTATATATGTATGTACGTATGTATGTATATATATATGTATGTATGTATACCTGTATGTATGAATGAATGAATGAATACATGTGTGTACACTATTTTTGTCTAATTTTAACTATTATTCTCTCGGGGATGGTTGGTAAGGGCTCACAAAGCGCACTTTTTGTTCCTGTTTTTGGATATTGCACCGACTACGTTTCAAACATTCTCCAGATTCAGATCACACTTTGTGTTCTGACACCTAAGCTTTACATGCAGGTCTTCTAAGGGTGTATCACCTGATCGTATTCATCGAAGCTCTTTCCATATCTTTTGTGTGCTTAGAGATTCATTTATCGTCGGCTTAAGCTTAATTGTCTCGGAATATTTGTGGGCGGTCATTAAGTTCATCTGAGTCAGTAAGCATGTGTGTACTAGAAGAACATCGGCCCGCTTCCATATAAGCTCGCTAAAAATTCTTTATTTGGACTCTCCTTCTATTTGTCTGACCAACTTCAACTCCTTCAAGGCGTTCTGTGGCTCAACCGTAAACGATCTCTTAAATTTTTAATATGGGTAATTTGAAGGTATCTCTTTTGGAATCAGTTTGGCTTGTATTTCTTTTTTAATTTATTATGCTGGATAGATGCAAATTAAGAAGTATTTTTTCAACTATATTGTATTCCATCACCCAGAATCTGATAATGACATCCTTCTCATAAGGGTTTCGCTCTCGACCAAGTTTTCACAGGACTTCTAGGACTTGGTTGTCATATCTACAAATGCTACTATTGAGCTGCTTACATTACTACATTATTCACAAGTCTTCTCATTAAGGAAGGACATAAGCAAAGTCCATTTCGTGACTCCATGTGACATGCAATATTAACTTGAAAATTGTGCTTTTGTTAAAATAATTAAAGTTTATCTGACCTTATTGTATGCTTTATGATCAAGGCACCTCGGCTTTAAGGATTGCCACAGTATTTTAAAATTTGAGTGAAGCGATGAGGCGTTTTCATATAATCTTTAACATTCCGGTTAGTAATTGGAGTTTGTTTCTCTACTTCTGACTTTCTATCACTGTCCTTCTGCCAATTGGTTTAAGAAGCTTATAATTTACAAACCCTTAAAGATTTGAGCTCTCCTACTTGTGTATTTTTTCACACAAAAATGGTTACATTTGCTGCCTGACCTTCCTTGTTGAGCAAACCCTCCTTTCGGCCTACCATACAGTTATACCTATGCTGTAAAGGCAAATATTTTGTTGCTTTTTTGGAAGCCTCTTCAAAGCTGGCGCCTTTCTTCCATTCTTCTTCACAAGGCAAATCTACCTCCTTTTGTCTGAGTAGCTATGATTTTTTCTATACTTAAGAAACATTTGTCCTTATACTTACGCACAACACACACACACACATATATATATATGTATGTGTGTGTGTGTGTGTGTTATAGGGTGAAGTGCAGGGAAGTAAGTGAACAAGCGAAGAAGATAGTTATCACTTTCGGATTGACGGATGAAATCTCGTGACGCACATCTAATTTCTGTTTGAAGAAAACGAATTTTTGGCAAGACGCGAAGTTCAGGTATTTTGGTGGTTATGGTAAGACAGAGCTGGTCTTAGCTTCGGCTATGCCTGTAGTCAGGTTCAACTGTAGGCATAATAGGGTTGCGAGTTGATGCGGACCCCAAGCTGAGTGGCTGGAGTGGGGAGAAGGAGGGGCTTGCAGGTGGGAGCTGGGTCCCCGACAGATTATGATTAATGTTAGGGCTTCATTAGCCTCCAGATTCATTAAGCAATCACGACAACTGGTGCTTTATCTTTTAAATATTCGTGCTAATCGCTTGGCAGGTTGTCGCTCGTTACTTCTGTTCCAATATTGGGTGATTAATTGCCTCTTCTGCTTGCAATCTTTGTTTTATCATCTACCAACACGCACACACACACAAACACGTATATTCGTATACACAACCATAGAGATAGAGGAGCATACACAAATGCGAATATTTGGCTGACAACGCAGAAGTTTTCGTCATTGCTCCTTTGTAGCATCTTCCTTCGCTGCTTGGTAGCCGACTAGCTCTATTTATTTTTCCCACCATATGTTGATCCCCTCTTTGACACTGTCACTCAAACGAACAGCAACAGCAGCATTTGGCGCTTGGAAAATAAATCTCGAGTATGCCAGTTTGTGCTTGTTTTAGACAACGAAGGCTGGCGAAGGCTTTTGGTGTAGACCAGAAGGGGTTTCTGCTGCTTGCATTTATTTACCTTCTTCACGCATTCTCAGAAGGCTGAATCAGAATATTTGCGTGTATGCGTGCGTGTGGATGGATTTGTGGATGTGCTGTTGCGTGAATTTGTGTGGTTTTGGGACCAGGCTAGTGCACCTATGCTCGTATGTGTGCATCTTGGCTGCTGTCTCTATACTTGTCCTTGGTTGGGGGGACCCTGCAGAGGTTTTTCTCTGTGTCTTTACTATCATCCACTCGTACCATGAATTGGCACATTCCTGCCTATAGTTTTGTCAGTGTGTCTGTCTTTGTAAACGAGTGGATGTCTGCTTCCACGGTTCTGTATACGTGTTTGTTGCCAGTTTACTTGACTTCCGTGTCGATTCTCTTCCCATCTCCCTCTTTGTAGCCGCAACTTGCTCCTTCGACGTAAGGCTACAATGTTCGTCAGTGTCCTTTCCTCTTTTTGCCAGTCTGCGACTGCATTCAGGTGTCAGCGCTTCTTTGTGCTTTCAGATTTTGCAGAACGATAACTGGAGCAGCAATTTCGCGGTGTAGGGCGCATTCTCCACACACGCCCTTAGAACCAGCTTTTTGTCTTGCTTGTTTGCGTTCTTTTACAATTGCTTCGGATTACATGCTGCTGACTTGTCGCGTTAAGGGCAACACTTGTCTCCTCCCTTTGCCATTCTGCCCCAGCAACTAGGCTCATTTCATGCTCTTTTTCCACTGCACTGTGTCATTAGTCCTGCTACTGCTGATACCACCATTGATAATAAAAATAATATGCTTATCTTGTGACCGTCGATCTCCGAAACTTCTCTACTTCTCAGCAATGCTGAGCCAAACTCTTCACCAAATCACGTGTGCTAGCACACATACATGAATGCACAGGTACAGAGATTTTTTTTCCTAGCATGGGTACTCTTAAATCACGACAGCAAGAATTTATTATTTATTATAGCAACCTTTCTTAAGAAGATTTTTTAAGAAAACATGGTGATTAAATTTTTGATTTTGTAAATTTTTATATATTGTTGGACTAATAAATTATTGAAGACACTTCTCTGTCGTTAAAATTGGTTCTGAGGCAAAATAAGCCCTTCCTTCTGCATGCTTTAAGTGTATACCGAAGTGCTGAATCTTTTGAGGACCGGTTCGGGTCCTGGAGCCATCAAAAGCCATCAAGAGCAAAGCCATTTTGGCTGTCTCGGCCGAAATGTGTACGGATGAACAGCTGCTTGGATTCGGCAAAGTGCACCGCTAGGAAAGCGTGAACAAGTCAGTCTCTAAATCTCAATGCTTCATCAAATCCACCACACAAAGAGAAATAGGATTTTATTTGCCTGCTATGATGCGTTGTACGACAACTTTGCTGACGTATGGAGGTCCATCCCTCAAGATGTGACTACTTCTACTGGAAGTTGATGAGAAGGCCTAGTGTGAACTACTCGACAACATGACTCCTGGTGTCCTCATCTATAATGGGGAATCTGGTTGAAGGAGATAACAAGTCATGGAAGGCATATTCAATAAGTTTCTTTGAAAAATGTCGTCGTTTTAGGCACATCGTTGAGAATCTTCTTCCGTCAAATGGAAGACCTCGTTAGGCCAGCAATCCACCTTTTCTCAGTTAAAAGAGGATATTGCGGGATTAATTCAATTTTTATACATTCTTGTAGAATGCGACAAGTTTACGTATGGTAGAAGTGGGTTGACCTCGTTGTCGCAACTTGGTCTTGTTTTCAGGGAGACCATGTAGAACGCAC